TTGCAGAACTCCGTGCCAGCATCACTGTGCAAGCGTGCTACGCGACAACCCATAGCACACAGCCTGGCCTCAATGCCCTTGATTGCATTCATCACATCCCTTCCCCCTTTTGAGGGTAATGGTACGACGAACGGCAAGTGAACTAGCTCTAACTGTTCTAGCGGTTGCGGCTCTGGGTCCGCCGGGGCATCATCAAGCTCAATCGGGCCAACACCCGTGCCTTCGTCGTCATCACGGTCCTCATCAGCAATTTCCCACTCCCCTGGCTCCCCTGGAATGGCCTCTTCAGCCGCCTCATGCTTATCCCCTTTAGACCCGTTCAGCTCCGGTGCCCTAGGTATGGAAAAGACTGCGGCAAGGAAGTATCTCGCCTTTGCACCCTCATGAACACCATTCTTGAACGGGCCAGCAAGATCAACCGACAGCACGAACGAATCACTCACCGTCTGTCTGTAATGATTCTGTTTCTTCGCTCTCCCTGCTACGCATGCATAGCAGTCCTTACGGTAAGGGACATGTCCGGCTAACACATGATCCTTCATGGATTGTTGAACCTGCATCCGTCTGAGACCTTCCACGGTTGAGCCCTGCTGAAGAGCAGCATCGATGTACTCCCCAACTGCTTGCACCAAACCCGGAGCCCAGCGCGCCCAATCCACGCTACAACCTGATAAAACCTGGCTTTGTCCCGGACCTTGGATGTTCATAGCCCAGCTCGGCCACAACTGTTTGAGACATGCTACTGTGGTTGGTTTTCTGCACGCGTGCCCCAAAGGACCTTGATCAAACCTCAGGAGCTCCAGCCCAAGCGTTTTGCATAAGGTGCCTAGCTCCGGGGTTGCCCATATGGAAGGTACCTGCCAATGACAACTCCCAGCAACCTCCAGTGGATCCCTCTGGCTCTCCAGTAGATACGGAAAACCCTCCAATCGCCCGGGGTTGACCTGATCCCGACCCCATTTCGATGCGATACCAAGCACAAAACTCCTGAGCATAAGGTGGTCCTCACAGTCAACGCTTTTTCTATCCAGGTGGGAAAGACCTTCCAAACCAAACCTTTCCACTCCATGTCGCGCTCGAACCGCAGGTAAAAGAATAGAACGCGTCTCACACGGAAGACCTGAAATGACCGCAACAACCTTACCGGCGAGCGCCTGCTTCAGCAAATATGTGTACGTTGCAGGATCGTTGAGATCTTCAGTTGCGTCTACGGCTATTACCGTAGCCCCATGTTTCGCGGCTACAGAATCAAACTCATGCCTCGTTTTCCCACAGAAAAGATGCAGAACTGCTCCCTTGGAACGCTCAACTGCCCTGCGCCTCCTACGATTGAAAGCGCCTGGAGGACCAGTCCCGTTCGAGATCAGAGACACCGCTTGGGCAGCCGCTCGTGGAAGCTCTGGAAACAGCTTCTCGCACAACACTTGATGCCACATTTGCGCATCCCTCAACTTGCCTTCCCTCACGCTCTCAGCAACTCTATGCATGACGTTCTCCCATGACACGGTGTCTGCATCACGCACCCTTGCAAGCTGATCCTCACCATACCCGTGGATGTTGAATGTTTCGATGCGATCAATCAGGCTTTGGGCCACCGCCCTACACACTCTTGGGCATCCTGAAGCCGTAGACAAGGGAACCGAGTAGCCCTCTTCATCGAACAACTGACATGCCCTCTTGGACCAGACCAAGCGAAAACCGATGGCGATAAGCTGTCGGAGTGACACGATGGGTTCAACTTCTTCGCTAGCTAACAAGACGCCCCCAGCACTAAATCCCATCTGAACTTCACCCTGCGCGAGCGAAACCGTCTTCTCTCCAACTGGATGCTCATTACCCCTTCGCATGCGCATGCATGTGGTCGCACCTGAATCGATCAGCCCTGTTTCATCAAGGGGACCTGGCTTCGGAGGGTATTTCGGTCCCAGCTGTAAGGCTTTGATTGATGTTTGGATGGATTCCAGCACAGCATTGGCCTTCGCAATCAGCTCGTCGCGAGCCGACTTCCCGGTTTCACCAGTTCCCTTATCCTGAGCCTTCATGGCCTCATCCTTTGATTTCCCCTTTGGGTTACCCTTCCCTGGGTTCCCCCCGACCTCAGCCTGCGCACGTGGGAAAGGACAATCTGGCTTTCGATGCTTTGTGCTACTGCAGTTGAAACACCTCTTGTCGGCAGGGGTAAGGGCATCATGCGCAAATGTACAAGACTTCCCATACCTACACCCATCATCGGTTCTCCAGAGTCGACACGGCGGTCTTCCACCATCCGCTTTGGCAGCCCC